AACGACTCCCTCCAGAAGTCGCCCTCTGCGGCGATGACGAAGAGGAGGCGCCCACCTGGACGACCACACAGGACTTCGTCTCCCACTCTCAAGGGGCATGCCGCTCCTGGCACCCCTGCGCACCGGCCACATCGGGCCGCCGGCGCCCCCTCCGGAAGTTGCCCCTCTCAACGGCAATGACGGGGAGGAGGTGCCACGCGACGATCGCTTCGGACCCCTTCGGGTCAATCTGACTCCGCCCCGACGACGCGATGCTCCACCCGGAGATCGTGCACCCTCCGCCGACGCCGAGGACGCCCAGAATCAAGCCGTCTCCCTGCCAGACGACTGGTTCAATTTTGGCCACCTGGTGGAGGACACCCTGGGCGACCTGTTCGACGCCTTCGACACCCTGGACGAGGCAGTCATGGGCCTCAACCAATGTGGCCCATCCCACAGGGAAGCCCCCAGAGAAGAGCCGCAGCCGGTCGCTGCTTCCGGACCTCTGGGCGCGGCGTACGATCTGGTCTCCGACGACGAGGGCCGCGACAACCACACACCTCGTCACTACGACCCAACTGGCGATGACGGCGACGACAGCGACGCGACCATTATTTATGATCCCACCGCGGAAGAAAGCAGCGATATCCGCAGGAGACGCCGCCCACGGCCGGTCCCAAGCGACAACCGGGCCCCGCCGTACATGGGCGAAGTAGAAGCCGCCCTGATCGAATGCTTCGGGGAGATACCGGTGGACGTATTCGACTGGGGAAGCGGCAACAACACAGCGTCAACCATCTCGGCCGACGAGGACGAGACTAGCCAGGACAGTGGCTGGTCCAACGCCCCGTGATCGCCGCCCCCATGCTGGACTCCACCCAACACCACGCACGCTGGACCTTCGCCGCTACAAAGCTGGGCCCCAGCCACTACCAGTCGCAGCCGACCTCCTCCGCCCTCGTACGAGGAGATATTTGGCCCAGGTCTCTACGCCGGTCCTCACATCACCGCCCGATGCGCCGCGGTGACCTCCAGCCGCGATCCGCGACCCCGCCTGCCCACCATTGCGGAGCTGGCCGCAGAAGAGGCGCGCCGAAGAGCGGAGGACCTCAGCGAGGAGCTCGGCATCCCGCAGATGGCCCAGTCACCAGCCGACAACACACCACCAGCCAACAACCCACGACCAGCCGACAATCCACCACCAGCGACGCCACGCCGCCGAGCACGACGTCGGAGCGCGCCCTGGGCGGACAGTCCGTCCAGCTCGTCCGATGAGTCGTTGGACACCGACGAGGGAGCCCTCAATCCTCCCCGCTGGGTACCTGCCCCGGCGGAGTGGACCACACCAAACGACACGCTGCCGGCAGCCCTGCTTCGCCGGATACACGGGCGGCTGGCGATACCAAGGCGACGGACGACCCGGATCCTGGAGGAGGAGGCGAGTCAACGCTTCCGCGTCCAGATAAACCGAAGTGGGAAGGTAATCGTCAAACTCCATCCCTCCCGAAGATAGGGTGGAGTGTGACGAAGTCACAAAACCCTATTTTGTAAATAATGTAAATATTAGTTAAGTTTATAGTTAAGTTTAGCAATTAGTAAGTTAGGATTAGCCATAACACACACTCACACACTCACACACACAACTGTACATTTAAGCGGGCATGAAGCCCAAAGTTAATTTGCCCAAGAAGGGCCAAATTAGATTTAGATTAAGACCGCAACGCACAGGCGTATACATTTTTCCAAGACGGACTGTAGCGACCGCGTTGAAGACATTTCCCCTCTCCGCTGCCGACGCGAACAGCGGCAGAGGCAGCGACATTTCCCCTCCGACGATCGTGCGTGTTTACGTTTTGGTCGTGTTTATTTACATGCCGACCAAAACATAAACAACGCGATCAAAACGTAAACAAAAACAATAACAAAGCCGACGGCCGAAAGCTGCGCTGCCCGGACATTTTTGGCAGAGACGAGGCGACAAGGGCTTTGCAAGCTGCGACCGCGATCACTTCTCTGGCAGCTGCGAACGCGATCGAAATTAGTCCCCGCGACTCGAAACAATCAAAGCCAACGGCTAAGTCCAAAAGGACCCGCGAGTGTTAAATCATACCCGGCTGCCGGACACGTGTCCCAGCCCACCGATAACAGCGGGTGAGCCGGCCGAGCGCCATGTCAGGGTAGATTCTTGGAGTGTGGCGTAGGGCCAGGTTAGGGACGGCAGTCGTAGATTATAAAAATGTAGACATAATAATTAAGTAATAAAATAAAGCACCGAAACTGAAGTCAGAAAAACCTATCGCTTTCTCCCTCGCACCCGCATGAAACTCCGCGTTGTTAAAAGTCATTCCTTTCCGTGACGCGCGCCAAAGTGTTCCCCTCCCGCTCACTCACTCGCCGAGTTGGTGGCTGGGTTCTCCCGCACCAACTTCGCGTGGCCGCTGGGCAAGCTCCGGGCCAGAGCAGCGGGACGGGAGCGGGATTTGTCGCCGCTGGGTACTCCCGGGCACAGATCTGGCGTGGGCATCGGGGCTGCTGGGTTTTCCCGAGCTACGAGTTCATCGCCGCCGGCACGTGTTTTTCCCTTTCCCTCTCCCTTTCCCCTTTTGATCTGCATTTTGCCCGCCATCGCCGCTGGGTCATCCCGGGCGGCGGAGATTTTGCCGATCGAAAGAGTCGCCGCTGCTGGGCAACCGAGCGGGCGCCGGAAACGGAGGAGCACCTGGCCATCGCCAGGGTGACCGTCCAAGATTCCCATTTCTCCCGAAGCCAGATTTTCCCCCCTCGAAAACGAGCCCCTTTCGCTGCTGTTATTTGCCTAGAAAATTCATTAAAAATTCGGCGTCCATGTTCTGGCCGTCTCTAAAATATAAATATTTCTGGAGAGGAATCCTGGGCCGCTGAGGTTTACCCCGGCCTAAGACACATCCTTACACTACTAAATTTATTAAATTTACATGTATTAAACAAAATTTGAAGGCACTAGGTAATTGAAGTAATAAAAGACACTGTTTTAGCAATATTTAATATTTAGTCTGCCCACCCTTGTTCTTAATTATTTCAAACATACGGCTTGGTAAAGAATCGTAGTATTTTTCGATTTTATTTAGTAAAATTGTTGACCATGCTTTTTTAATTGCATCAACTAGGGCTCCAGAGTCACTAAATTGTCTTCCTCCTTCGTATACTCCCCGAGACAAAAGTCCCCAAATGTTATCCATGATGTTAATGTCAGGAGAGTAAGGTGTCCACTCGAGCAATTTGACATTTTGGTCCTTAATCCACTGCTTTACAACCCGAGCGGTATGGATGGGAGCGTTTTCATGGTGATACGTCCATGGAATATGACCAAACGTCTCTAAAAACTGGGGAAAAGCCGTTTGGAGCACAGTTATGTAAAGATTTGCGTTCATTTGCGAGGTGACAAACTGGAGATAGCATGTTCTATAAAAAGATAGGGCTCCCCATACCATTACTCCACCTGCACATGTGTCATGACGACTTAAAAAACACTCTTCTTTTCTAATATCGTGAAAATAGTAGTTATAGTCGTCTGATTCATCGAGGATTACCTTCTTTTCGTCGGAGAAGACTACAGTCTTCCACTCCTTCTTCCACGTCATGTGTTCCCGAGCAAACTGAAGGCGTGCTTCCTTACGAGCATCATTGAGAGGTGTTTTTTTTTTTATTTTCAATCTCTTCAGGTGTTCTGCTCTTCAAATAATTCGTTTTACCGTAGCCACACTAGCACTTACACCGCATTCTTCCCTTATTTTACCAGCCGAAAGGTGGGAATTTGAGGCAGTTCGCAGGATAAGTCGCCTCTCCGATGCTGTGGTTGCATATTTTTTTCCTTCTTTTATTTTTTTCCATAGTCTGCTTCATTACGAAGAAAATTACTCAAAACGTTTTGACTTCGACCTATTTTTTAGGGTATTTCATGGTGTTTTAAGCCAGATTCAATATAACCTTTTATGCGACCCTTTTCAAAATCGGTTAAAGGTTTTCTGCAGCCCATTTTACAAAAAACTGATGAAAAATGACTTAAATTTTGCAATACAAAAAAGTTTACTTCTTTTCTGTCACGCAATCAAACAAAATGCAAAGTCTAAAGAGTTAAACCTATTCAGATGAGCCAAGAATAGAGCACGCATTTTGCGAATTTTACGTTAAAAGTAAAATTCTGAATATCCGTTGCATTTGTCCCGTTAATTTTTTCTTGCATACAGTGCGTAAACAAATAAAGGTTCAAAATAAAAAGAAATAATAGCAAACCATTCAGTTGGAATAAAGGGAGAGTGAAAAATGTGAGAACTATTTTTCAAACCTATTCAGTTGAGCGGCACTGTATGTATTGACTCTTACTTAACAAAAGGAATATAGAACAAAAATTTCGATTTTAAAGTCTAAAATTGCTGTTTTTCGTTTTTAAAATATTTGCACGAAATAAGCTTGAAAGTGAGAATTTTCACATTTTTTCTATTTATTTAATTTTTTAATTTATTTTAATGAAATAAGCTTGGTGCCACTGTATTTATGCGATTAAACGTTCTTTTTTCATTTTTATCAAAACCAAATTATTATTTGCTATGTATATATATACAACTTTTATAATTTTCTATTAATTTAACCAAAATGGATTGATTATTAATGATTCAATTTCAAATTGCAAGGGTATACAAACTTCGGCGTGCCGAAGATAGCTTCCTTTCTTGTTTTATTATTATTATTATAACCAATTACGAAAGCATAAACTATTTCCATTATTTTTTAACGTGTGGTTTCTATCCTTCCTGTTAAAATTTCGTGGGTACATTTAGTACAGGCTAATGTCAAAGAAAATATTGACAAATACCCTGTAAAATCTGGCTCAGCAGAAAACAGCTGTTATGCGCTTTATATCACAGTACAAACTGTCTGCTTTACGATCAGCTAATTTAGTATTTATCTATTATCTATCATATCGAGAAAACAAGTTAAATTAAGGAACACTAACTGAAACCAATATAATTCATTTTTTTCAGCACAATAATACCGGAAATGCTCGTCAGAATCAATATGTTTTCCTATTTAAGAAACATTTATTTGTTGACAATTATATGAATATGGATGATATAGTTGAAAAGGAACTTTTATATCATCAAGTTTTACATAATTTGCGTAGTGAAAGGTATCCAATAACTGAAATGGAAGCAATTATGTTAACTGCTCTACAAGGCCAATTAGAGCTTGGCGACTGTAGTGAAATCCTAAATGATTACAGGGCGGTAGCAAGCCATTGCTTACCACCCAGATTTGTACCAAATATTCCACATGATGCTGTGGCTATGCATCATCAGAGTCTTAAAGGGATGTTACCAGCTGAAGCGAAGAAAGCCTTTCTCAATTTAATACATAGTTGGCCTCTTCATCGTGCTACTATTTTTGATGTTATGGTAAGTAAAATATTTTTTTTATATACTATAATTATACTAAGACTGAAAGAATCACTTAGCGCAAGACAAAAATTTAATAAAAACTTTTAGCATCGTCGCACAGTAGCGTCTTTTCTCATTTTACGTTGCAAAAATAATAACTTTTGAACCAAAAAAGATAAAAAATAATTTAAACGCCATTTGACAGCCAATTGTTGTAAAATTTACAAATGTATTGGAAAATTTGCCACGCCCACTCATTCGCCTTTTTAAAGGGTATCAAAGTGAAAAAATATTTTTTTCAATGAAGACAATTTAAAAAAAATATATTTTATTTAATTTAATATCTTTATATTAATGTATTTGCTTAAATAAAAAAAATTTGAAAACTGAAAAGAAAAAAATTAAATTTTTTTTTAATTCTAAATGTAACCGCCACAAATCCGTGAGTGCTACAGTTAGTATTTTTTCTTTAGTTTGTATGAAATTGTGTCGGTATTTTTTTATATTTTACCCTCAGTTGTTTCGGTTTTTGGCTTCGCAATGCCAGAGTCGCAGCTGGACGCAGCCGATCTAAACGAATTCTGATTCAGAAAAGATACACGCAGTGCGTAGTCATAGTGTAGTTGCTGGCTCTGGGCAGCTTCAGAAGTTATAGACTACTTTAGCCAGAAAAAAGGGAAAATATTGGACACCTGGCAGGTAGCAATTTACCTGTACAAGCCCACACAAAGGTTAGGTTAGGTTAGGTTAGACCGGACGGCCCTCGAAGGGCCACACATAGGCCAATATGGCCCATAGCTATCCGGGGAATCTCCTGGTTGGACATAGAGACTGTTTATGCGGGTTTCGAGATCCTTGAATATCAAGGTGTTTTTCGCAAAGGCAAGGAGTTCGTCTGGCTTCCTCCTGGAGGCATCTTCTAGCGATGACAGAACTGGAGAGCCTAGGTATCTCATTCTTGCCCTCGTTAGGGCCGCACATTTGCAAATGAGATGCTCCAAGGTTTCGATTGCCTCGGATTCATCACATTTCCGGCATTTGGCGTTGTCGGTAATACCCAGCTTGACTGTATGTGCAGCAGACAGGCAGTGACCTGTAAGAATACCCACTAACATTCTGCAGTCCTTCCGCGGAAGATGCAGCACGTAGTGGGTGAGTTTCTCGTTGTGCTCTTTGCACATGATTTTTGATATTATGCAGGTTGCAGAATTACTCCTTCACCTGCTTTTTGCGCTTGCGTCAGCCCGTCACTCTAGCTCGCTTTGGAGCGTTCTTAGGGAGATAGGGACGTTTTCTGCTCTTTCACTTGCCAGTCCGACGCCTTCCTTTGAAAGTTCGTCCGCGGTTTCGTTACCGTCTATGCCTTCGTGGCTGGGAACCCAGTAGATCCTCACTGACCCCTTCTGGTGCCCGTAGCCGCAGCGCCACACCCCAGCGCTGGTTTCCCACGCACCGTGCACCGCCGCGACTACGAGTGCATCCGCACCCATATCCACTCCTAGATTAGGGACACTCCGACACACGCTGCCGCCAGGCTTGCCTTGGCCATCCCACGCACCGTGCATCACCACGGTGACCAGTGAAACTCTGCCTGGTCGACCCGTAGCTAGCCTCCGTGCCCAACCGGAGTTAGTTAACGCCTCTCTGACGCCCTGGCCATTTCCCCGACCCACGTCGCCTGAATTCTGGGCGAGATCAAGCTAATTCCGCCAGGAGTCCGCCGTAGTTGCCACTCCGCGCACCGGCAAAAGCAGTATAAACAAGCAGTAGGCGCAAGCAGTGTCTAAAGCAGTTCGCGACGAGCAGCTTTCTGTCAGGGACCGACCGATCAAGCAGATCAACGAGTCGATAAAAGCAGCGCGGCGACCGGCCATTGACAAGCAGCGCGTGTGCCCCGCCTGCTCCTGGGGCATCTAGTGACCACATCGTCCGGCATCCACCTTGCCGACCCTCGATGATCGGAATTTAGTGCGCGCAAATTCGCAACCCGGGTCCCATACGCTGTTATAATAATTTCCTACAAATATTTCCGTCCCCTCTAAATAAATTTTTTGAAGAGGATCCCTGGTCACTACTGGGATCTATCCCGGCCGGAGAGATTCGTTACAATATCTAGGTAGACCTTAGGGCCTCCGTGCACGTCTCAATATTGGATGACCTCAGGGCCTCTTTATAAGTCTCTCTATACCTCGGTAGACCTTAGTGCCGCCGTGCACGTCTCAATCTTAGAAGACCATAGGGCCTCTAAAAACTTCTCTCTTTTAGAAGACGTTAGGGCCTCTACAAACTTCTCAATCTTAGAAGACCTTAGGGCCTCTAAAAACTTCTCAATCTTAGAAGACACTAGAGCCTCTACAAAACTTTTCCATCCTAGAAGACCTTAGGGCCTCTACACACTTCTCTATTGTTAGAAGACCTTAGGACCTCTACAAACTTCTCTCTTTTAGAAGACCTTAGGGCCTCTACAAACTTCCCGAACTTGGAAGACCTTAGGGCCTCCCCAAACTTCTCGAACTTGGAAGACCTTAGGGCCTCCCCATACTTCTCAATCTTAGAAGACCTCAGGGCCTCTACAAAATTCTCAATCTTAGAAGACCTTAGGGCCTCTCTATTTTTGGAAGACCTCAGGGTCTCCACAAACTTCTCAAGATTGGAATACCTTAGGGACTCCACAAATCTGCTCGCTAACTGGAAGATCTCAGGGTCACCGCTAACAAGTTATTCCACTAACTGGTAGAGCTGAGGGCCTCCCCCAGTTATTCTCACTCTAGGAGATCTGAGGGGCATCCGCGCATCGGCGTTTCACCGACACTGTCGACCCGAGCGGGAAGGATGTACCTGACCCTGAAGTGCGGCGTTCCAGAGCGACTACCCGCGGCAGCAGACTAAATCCAATCTTTTTAACAGATTTAATATTCGAGGCAATAAACATATAATTATAGTAATGGCATATTCCTTGGCGTTCTACCCTGGGACCGTGTCGGCCTCTCTTTCAGCAACCACCTCAGACCACAAATAAATTTCTGAGACGAACCCTGGCCATCCTTGAGCCACCGGAATGATCAACCGTCACAGGGTCTACACGCTAACCTTATGTCTCATTACAGCTCTGATGATCTGATCGTGGTGATGCTAGAGAGCGGGAAAAAGCGCCTTTTGGTAGCTTCCTGCTACATGGCACACGACAGGACGGCCCCACCAGAAGAACATGAGCTTGGTAGAAGCCAGCCCGAAGGACCAGCAACTGCGTATGGGGGGAGCCCCGAAATAAACGACAGAGGTAAGTCACTCATAGACTTTATACTCTCAACCAGCCTGAGTATAGCAAACGTGGGGAGGAACACACCTTTGTAGGTCCCACTTCCTCAAACGTGCAAGATCTTACTCTTGTAAGGGGACAAGGTACTTTGGTATCAGAATGGAGAGTCCTTGAGAGACCATCCTTCTCAGATCATAAGTACATACGGTTCCAATACGCATTCGAACACTCTCCAAAACAATCAGTCTTCAAGAACCCCCGGAATACTAACTGGGGAAAGTTCAAGGAGACTATCGCGACACGGGTCGCGATCTCTCCGGGCATAGTAGAATCCGCGGAAGACATAGAAAAGTCCCTAGAGACCCTCTCCAAAGAACTGCTGAATGCGTACCACGCATCATGCCCTATATCGGCCTCACCTCATTCCTACTTAAAACGCTGGAAAAGCTGCTGGACCTATACATCAGGAACGATTTAGGGAGACAACTGTCGACCAACCAGCACGCCTACACGAAGGGGAAATCAGTGGAGACGGCACTACATTCGTTGGTAGCCACCATTGAGAGAGCCCTAAACAATAAGGAAAATGCACTTGGAGTGTTCGTGGACATATCCGGGGCATTCAACAACGTTAGCACGGACGCAATAATGAATCGCCTAGAAGCGACCAACTCATCCCCCGCTATCAACTTGTGGATAAAGAATCTTCTAAGTTGCTGGCGGGTACAATCAGATTGGGGCACCGCTTCCATGGTGAGAGGAGCGAACAGAGGCACGCCGCAAGATGGAGTTCTGTCGCCCCTCCTATGGAATCTGGTGGTAGACGACCTAATCAAGAGATTCGAGAGGAATGCACCAAAGATAACAGCTTATGCGGATGATACAGGGTGCTGCAATGGATCTCCTCCCCAAAAATTAACAAAACCAGGCCCCGAAAACACAAGTCAAATACCTCGGCATTGTACTTGACAACAAGCTGACGTGAAATGTAGTAGAGAGGGTGAAAAAGGCCGCCACACCGCTATATGAATCAAAGAAGATGATTAGCAGCACATGGGGCCTCTCACTGACTCTAATGCATTGGGTCTATATATCGGTGGTGCGTCCGATTCTGCTGTATGGAGTCTTAGTGTGGTGGCAAGCCATGGAGAGAAAACGTATTATAAGCTTATGGAGAGAACCCAGCTTCAGGTACTGCTCTGTATATCAGGGCCGCTGAGGTCAACCAGGACCATGCTCAATACCTCAATACACCGACGGCTCCAAGATGGATGGAGGAGTAGGAGCAGGCATATACTGTTCAGACCTGAAATAAGACTGTCGTATAAGCTACCAAGCCAGAAGATTCCAGGAGGAAATATTCGCCATCAGGAAAGCAGTAGAGCTTGCGCAGATCATAAGCCGTCTACATGAGCCGGTCAATTTGTTCCTAGACTGTCAATCGGCGATAAGATCCATGCAATCATCAGCGGTCAGTTCCAAAAATATACTGGCAAGCAGGGAGTCACTAGATAGCCTGTGCATTTTTGGAACTGACCGCTGATGATTGTATGGATCTTATCGCCGCTTGACTGTCTACGAACAAATTTACAGACTCATGTGGACGGTTTATGCTCTGCGCAAGATTATACGAGAGCCTCATTTCAGGGTCTGAACATCTTGGATGCATATAGCGCTATGGTGGCCTTTTTTACCCTCTCTACTACATTGGCCTTCCACGTCAGCTTGTTGTCAAGTACAATGCCGAGGTATTTGACTT